TGACAGAGTAAATTACTTCCTATGTTTAAATTTAAATAAACTGCACATACTACATACACAATATGAAATGAACAGTGGTATTACAGTCAGGAGTAAGACCTGCAAATTAATTAAACAATAAATAGAATCAATTCAGAATAAATGAAGATATCGACATAAGAAAACACAGCTGTTACAAAACACAATTGAGATATTTATTTTTTTGAAAGTTTATTGAAAATCTAATTTTAAACCATGGAAAATATGGTGTAAAAATAGATAGACGTGCATAATAATTTTAATGCAGTCAACTTCAGCTGTGTAGATTTTGATAGTATAGCAAATAACGCTGCGTTATCAAGTGCATTCAACTGTACTTGAATTTGCTAACTTCAATAATAATACCGTTTATTATTCTAGACTGTTTGTTACTCGACACTGTGTTACGTCGCGACTTACTCTCATGTAGACTAAGGCTGTAAAATAATGACGCATGTAAAAATATCTAAACTTTTATTTACCATCATTACCACGCGCTATTTACAGATACTGTAAATAGATTATATAATATGAGACTAACTGAGCTCGCAACTTTGTATTGATACAACTGTCTTGGTTGTATGCTGACTAGAATAAAACAAATATAAAATTTTAAACGTCCATACACACATTGTTGAAAACTTCACCCAAATCAATTAAACCGTTTTTGAAATTAACATCTACAAACGCTCGATAACAGACAAAAATTCTAACAATCATTATGTTGTGTTCTATTGATTAAATTCCCCAACAATGATTTTTTCTTTGATGGTCTCGGGTCAGAATCCTTTCACGACGTAAGTATGATTGTTTGTATCAGGCTGGGTAATTTTATGTATGTATTTAAGCATTTGTATCTGTTGTCATACATAATACAAGCTATGGTTAGCTAGACGAGATAACTGTGTAAGATTTTCATAATACTTTTGTTATAACGTTGAACAATTTCCAGGGATCTAAAAAATGTATTATAAAAATCTTTTAGTAAAGTGAAAATGAAAAAGCACCAACATATAATTACATTTTTGTTATATATATTGATCTACATTATTATGACAAGGCTGAAACAATGATATATTTTTTAAGATTTGTTTGTTTTTTCAACTTTTTATTGTCAACATTGAATTCGACACTTTTTTTTTCACTACTATGTATTTTTATGAACTTTTCTTTAAATGCGTAACATAAAAGCGGTTCTACATAATAAATAAATACGGTTATATATAAATGTAATTGTGTTAAAATCGAGTATAGAGACATGTTATTTTATAACATTTGACTAGAACTTAAAAAATTAAAAGCTATATTAATAATTTTTGTACGATCTGTAGCTTTATGTTATGTTTAAAAATCTTTAAATTATTTCACAAAGTTACTTTTAGATAGCGATACCCTTATATGGCTTAAATAAGGTATTTTAGATTATTCTTGTTCAACGTAATCCAAATTAGTAAGCATTAATCATCAGATTTAACAATGAAACAGACCTGATGCACAACCTTCCTAGAAACGTCACTTTATTCATTGTATTTATTCATTTACGTCATATATTTTATCCTCCAATTAGTAACGGGTACCTAACCACGTTGGTTAATTTCGTAGTAAATTTTAACACAAGTGTCAATTGAATTTAAATACTTACTTACTAATATTATAAACGAGAAAGCTTATGAGTATGGATGTATATATGGATAGAAGGATATTTGTTTCTCTTTCACGCAAATGCTACTGAACGGATATTGATGAAAGTTTACAGTAATATAGCTTATACATACATCAGAATTAATATTCACCCGCAAGAAATCTATAGCCCATGTTGCTATAGATTTCACGCGGGTAAATATTAATATTCCTTTACTAATGTTATTCCGTATGTAGATAGACACAGGAATTTTTAACTAGTAAGAGTTATTGATATGCCCACATTTTGGTGAGTAGGATGTGTTTTGATGATACGAATCGAACGTGGAAAGGGGACGAGCCTCGTCTCCGAAATTAACTTTTCTTATTGGTGTCTACATATTTTTTGCTAAGGGCCCACCTGATGGTCAGCGAAGACCGTCCAAAATTATAAACAACACCACGAATATCACTGAAAAGCCTAAAATATAAATTCATCCACAGTTAGTTAGCCTAAGATTCTTATTCGGGTAAAAGACTCTTACATAAAATAAAAGCACCTTACATTAATAATATCTCAAATATATCATATTATTGTAACAAATAATAAGTACTTTAATAATAATTAGTAACTTAAATTATTAAATTAACTATTTATTAGAATAATACGAAATATTTGAGATAATTTGAAAAAGCCTAAAAGAGGTCATGTAGAGCACTTGAAATTATTTAACATACAAAACATAGTAAATCTATTTATATGACAGACATCTATTTTTTTTTAATGAAAAGTGATGATAATGTGGTCTCCTAATGTCGATTCAATTACAACCGATTAAAACAAAATACTTACTCAACGTCTTTTAAACAGATTTCACTATATGTATGTTAAAGCTAATTATGGGCACTTTAAATTTATATTGAAATTATGCACAAAATAATGTACCTAATAATATTATTTTTGTTGTTTTCCTTGTTCCTCGAGATGCCATTGTACTCGTACTTATATTATGCTATGCAAAACTATGTTATCTGTGATTATGCTAACAGATTTGATAATAATCGCCTCGAGAATACTAATACGTAATGCTGCCCAAATTCAAGACAAAGACAGGATTTGCGTATCCCTATTTTCATTTTGTATCACAGGATTTTCTCTAGAAACCGACTCTAATCGATCGACATCGAAATGTGCGGTTTCACATGTTCTATTATTAAATTGTGCAATTAAATACAATTATATATATTTATGTGGTCATTGAATGAATCGAGATTGTAATAATATTATTTTGTGTACTATTGAGTGCAATTAAAAGGTAGAAACGAAATTAGATTTGTTTGAAAGAGTTATTTACAATAGTTTAGATTTATTAATAGACCTACAGTAACTCAGCCTTGTACTTGACCTTGTTCTTGCTGAATGTTTTATTTCTTAAACTAACTGTTAATAGTCACAATAATATTAAAAATATATCTACTATACTAGTTGTGCCCGCGACTTCGTCCGCATGTAACAGTGACCTTGACCAAACTAAAAAAAAATTTTAATAATCTGACCCATAAGAGGCAAATATCATCCCTATTTTATTTTACCGCCGTAAAGGGTAACATTTTTACAAACTTTGAATGTCATATTTATTTATATTTGATCAATAGCCTGAAAAATAAGTCTCAAGCTTCTAGCTTTAAAAATCACGATTCTTTCATACAACCTCACATCTCTCCCTTCAACCCATTATAATCCCTTTTTCGAATTAAAATGTAACCTATGTCCTTTCACATAGTCTGTCTGTGTACCAAATTTCATTTAAATTGATCCAATAGTTTTTGCGTGAAAGCGAGACAATAAAGAAGGATAATAAATTCTCTAATCGGTTTTTGGTGTCAATCATTGATCAGATGTGTTCATATTTCTTGGCGTGAATTCACCACTACAATCAGTGATCGGTGCATGAACCCGACTGACCAACTTACCTATATATTATGTCATTATTAGCAGGGTGCTATAGTTCGGTCGATTCTACCGATCGTGTGCCAAATAGTTTCATTAGTAGACAGCTTTACTCACATTCATAACAGTAATAGATCTCATAGTGTTGTAAATGTTATATCGATAGTAAAAATACGTAGTTCTAGTGCGATATTTAATATTAAAATATGTTAAATACAAAAATAATCAATATCTATTGGAAACAAAATCAAGCGATGAACAAATTAAATATGATAACACAAGTTTTAGGCCGAAATAAAGTTAACAAATGTTGGAGCAATATTTTTGATTAAATTGTACACTGATAAATAGCTAGGAAAGTTATTTTGTATAGTTATATCTAGTACAGGGAAAAGTTGTTACTACTTTATTCTCGTTGGATGATGAAATTTTTCACGAAATTTACATTACCTAATTGTGTTAAAAACATCTAATTGTATTTAGCATTATATTTTATTGAAACAAACTAATTTATAGAGATATGTTAGGTAAGGTAATGTCATATAAATAATTACATTAGTGAGCACAAACAAGTCCAAATGTACTGTCTACTTTTGGTATAGAACCAGATGGTTTGTTTTCTTTTTTACTCAAAACATATGGTCAAAATTTGGTAAAACGGGCAAAATACTAAAAATTATTCTCATGATATGAGAGAATGTGAGATGGAAATATTATGTAAGTACCTATCATAATTAAGAAACATAGTTTAAAACAGTTTTTATTATTTTTAAGTGACTCCGAAAGAAGGAAATTATCATATTTAGTTGTAAGTTATGTACTTGCTATTATTATTTGTTAAAACATAATAATAGCAAGCATTTATATTATTAAAGTACTTACCTAATACTTATATCTTACAATCTTATTCAATTTTTTCCTCAATACGTAGCAACCCTAGACCGATACCTACGAATTAAATATACCTACTGTAAGTGAAAATAGAGCTGATGTAATACTGCTTTTATTTTGCACTTCTTTCTACACTTTAGATGTAGGTAACATTTAGTTTTTATAAATATCAAACAGTAGTACTACAGTAGTACTTACCTAGGTATTACAGAATCCCTTTATGAAGTAGACCGCTAACATTCAAGTATAAATACATTATCATTACTATTATTAAAAAAAATATTTAGTCCTCGTACGTATCTACCCTATGTCCTCATATATGCTCTTGTTGGAAGTAGTTCGTACCCAACAGTGAGTTGTTATAGTAGTCATTTACGTAGCTACTGGTTTGTTTATTTTATATAGAAATACACTAGGGCTGACACTACGGGATTCGCACCTCGCTCCGGGACTTCATTCCGTCTCCAGCCGTCTCATTTTCCACGTCGGCGCCTTACAAAACACACTAGTGCCAAAACATTCTTCATGACGAAGCCCCGTATATATTTTATATTTATAAACATCATCATTAGCAAGCTACGTTCATGATCATTGAGTGCGCCGTCGCAGATCAAGAATGATGTCGTGCCGGCGTTTAAGTTAAATGAATTATAATTATTCGTAACAGTTAATCAAATAAACGTTACTGTCAGTGATTGTGTGAGATTATATTTTGGAACTATCAATCTATAATACTTTAGTGAACATGTCGAATAGTTACAACATGAAGGAGTTTAGTTCAACGTAAGTCAGAACAATTGTTATTTGGTTATCGAAGGTAGACCTTCACGTGTATTGTTATACGAATATATATTTAATCATATAATATAACAAAAAAATATTTTACTTTTTATTCACATAAAATATCGTTTGTTATTTTTTTATTAAATACTATCTTATAGAAATATTAAAATGGAAATTATTATACAAAAGTCTACCATAAGTCTTTCAGCCATACTTCTAGATTTTACAAAACATAATTTAGAAATTTTAAATATTAGGTACAATTACCAATATCTTAAATACATTAGTTTTAAACATTGCTTACTCTACTTTAGAGCAAATTAATATGTTGAAAAATTATTTATTCTCTATTATTATGTATTATTTGAATTAAAATAATACAAAATGAATAAAATTCATACTAATAAGCACTACCTGCATAATTCAAAGCTGGTTAATATTTTCATTACACCGAAGTAATATAATTTTCTCATCTTATATTGAAAGGATCAATATAAGATGAGAAAATTATATATTTTTTAAATATTAAGTTATCATATTATCTTTAAAGTATGTAGGTGCGTATTATGTGACATAATATTTGAGGAAAATAGAGTTACGTCTTTTACTATCACCGTTTCTAAGAAATCATAAAAAAGCCTTCAAATGATATATAAACGTTGTGGTCCGGTTTGTTTCAACTAAGGAAATTCCAATAACAATATGTATAATATTAACAGTAGCACAGTGAATATAATAGTCACGACATATATGTATAGCTTATACATGTATAACTCATATGTAATAAATATTTACCTACAGTCGTTAGTAGCTTAATTACATAGGTATTTTACTGGTAGTGTACAGGTAGATATTTTACTGTATTGCTAGTAATGATATTATACATTATACATGTACTGAAAATACATGTGATACTACAAATATTTTATTTATTGTGACTTTTCATCATTTATAACATTGGGTTCATACATCGATCACATTGGTTTTTCTGCCGATATTCTTTTTTGAGACTTTAATACGCAGTGAAATTCAGGCCATACTCGATGTATGGTAGGTACCGGTTGTAATTACATATTTCAATTTCATATACGTCAGAAAACATAAACTGGTTAAGGGTTAATAACCTTGGATTTTGAGCCAACAGTATTAAGTAGGTACCTACAAACTTCTTTCCTCCAGTGATATTCAAATTTACAGGAAAAACAAATATATTTCCTAGGTCAATGACCACCAAGATTTTTGTGCTTCAACTTCAGTACCAAATTAGCTGGGAGCATTAAATAAACATTTCAAAACATTTGTTTCAGAGCATTAAATAAACATTTCAAAGACTGCATTGTGATTTTTCAGCGAAATTTCTTTTCAAGACAACCAAAAAGAGACAGTTCTTAATTGGAAGCAATTCTTCCAAGTGTAGGTGTATTTACGCTACATTGTCGCCATTTCTTAACATATTATATGGTGATTCTTTTTGTAATTGTTGCTATTATAAATATAAAGAATAAAAGTTTTGTCTTATTTGACTCATTCTATTTTCGTCGAAGTTGATTAGGTATTTTCATGGAATAAAATTCAAAAATTTTGTCGTCATAAATTTAATATTCCTAATAAAGTATTATTAATACCTAATTAAAAAAAAAGTATTATTATTACCTCTCTGCATTTAATTGCTCACTATTAACAATTAAGTATCTATTTGACCGAAATGCATATTGCGTTAAATCAATTTACTTATATAAGAACCAAGTTTTGAATTACTTAATTATAGAAAATACTTATTGCTGTATCTTTTCAGCCACTATTTTCTATGTAATGTACAATAAATATGTACATAACATATTTATAATCATATCATTACATTTAAAATGTAACTACATATTAATAGAGATATGTGAAGATTACCGAAGTTGCTATTTCCTTTATGTTGCGTGTTCTAACTTAAGTCGCGCATCGCTTCAATGTCAAAGCCGGTTTAGTACCTATGAGTATAACAATGTAACGAGACATATATCTAATATAAGACTAACCCGAATTAATTCTACTACGACAATAAACTCAATGTTACTCTTTGCTTGTAGACTGTTATGTAAATAAATAATTGTCAACCGTGACAGTCGCTAATACCTACTAATTTTCCGTTTATCTTTGTTACTTTTATTCTATAATATTCATATGACCGCTTAATAAAACAAATATAGACACTCATTCTCATTACTGAATTTGTTTTGCATTTACAACAAGCGACAATATATTTTTATTTATTACTGTTACCACGCCGAAATACTGTTCGTAACATAAATTCAGAATTTTGGGCTGAGATTTGATGTCGAGGTTTCAAGGTAAACCAGCCAAGCAGCTTTCGGACTCGACTTTTTAAATAAACAGCTAAAACAAAAACAACGGTTGTTGGCTTGGTGGGTTCAGCCCAAAGGGAGATTGCAATATTGGCTGACTCAACTGTTGCTAAAATTTCGCAATTCTGTAAAAATATATCAATATTCGTAATAATAACATAACTCCTCTTTTTATAAAATAACACTTTGTTTGGTATTGACATAGGCACCTACTATATGTTATTATATTTTTATGTTAATTGAGCCTATTTCTTCGTAGCCGTCGACGATACAGATGAACTAATAATAGTTTATAACTTTTTTATTTATAAAGCGATTGTAATAAAATAAATAATATTTGTTTAGTGAAGCTTATCACAATATATTATTGAAAAACGCCACTAAATTGGTTGAGCCGTTTCTGTGATTAGAGCGCGCAGACAAACATATTTTTTTTTCAAAAATAGTATTTTGATCTTTCATATTGTTAACACCACCAATAATATTTATTTTTTATTTTTTTATAAAATATTTATTATTTTTTCTCACATATCTTCTATGTATAGAGAGCACTAAGGAATTTTTTTATTGTATGTATAGATCCATTTTTTTTCTATGTTTGTTACCATACTTTTGTTTAACTACGCATTTCTTAAGTAAATATTCATTCTTTTGCTTCTGGTTTGTATACGAATTGTTCGGTATTCTGCCTATTATGTATTATTTTTATCTGCGTCTTTCTATTATCGCTGTCGTTGTCTAAACGACTTCACCACCTATATACAGTTCCACGCAACAAAAGGCGACATTATTTTTAAATGCAATCTCTTACAGACAATCTATGTCTCTTATATTTCCTTGACTTCATATATCAATGGTTTGAATTATATATATATTATTAGGTATTACATATTATAACTAGACAAGATGAAATATTTAGTCCACAACACGCATAACAAATATTAATAATAAAAAAGTGCTTTACATCCTATTTACTAGGTAGGCTATATAATTAAAACAAATATTATTGTATTGTTCAAGACTTAACAAATATACTTACATTCACTATACATGTAGTTCATTTAATATTTATTTCGTCTATTCTGCATTTCACATTCGAGCAATATGTAGACCAAGTGTGATAAAAATATCCCAGACGTTTGTTAATCTTACCTAGGTACTCAAATAAAATAAACATGAGATATCGGGGTTGAGATTTCAGTGAATTGATTCTTTAAGGATTTTTGACTTTCACGGTAACATTAAAAATCTTTATGTACAGATATAGATATGTACACAGGTATTTAAAATAACATACGGGATTAAGGCTTACGTGATGAAATTCCAGCTGAGATGCCTCCCGCTTTCTTATATGGAATCACATCTAGGTAGTTTGCCAATAATAAATACATATTTGCGAACTATATGTACATATATATTTTGCCTTTACCCGTTTTCATTTTTGAAGACCTAAATATCTTATGATTATTTTGTAGGCGTGTGTTTTGTATTGCAATACAGCATAAACTGTAATGGCGCCAACATTGTTGAGCAACAGTTTTTGATACAAGAATTAAAAACATTATTTACTATAACTGCTACTTTGTTTACGTGAAATGGATGAATAGTTATTTTAAAAGAAAAGTACATTGAATGACGAACCTTAACGAACGGAACGACGAACAAATAACCTTATGGTAAGTTAGGACCATGGCATTCATAAAGTCATCCTCATATCCCTCATGTCTTGCCATTACGATGAACTAAGGTTTCATATATCATTACACTAAATTTACAAAGCAAGTTACGCGACTTCTAAATTTGATGAAACAGAGTCACCCACGCAGTCGATTTGTGTAAGGTCGACGTATGTAAAATAATTTTCACTATCATATTCCACTATTCAACAACTACGAAATGAATTATGAAATCAAGTCTCCAAAATTTTAAACAGTGTAACAGTAGGTTCCTTACATACTTTTATTTAAATACGTATCTACGTACATGAGGACGCAGATATATCAATGAACCTTCGAAATATACACATTCATAACATTGATTAAATACATTTAGATAGATACTAAATGAAGCAACTGTTGGTGATAAATGTGAAAAAGTCCTTCATTTAACATTTCAAATAATTATCAATAAGTTTCTTTGTGTTTACAAAGAAGGAAATCTTTCTATAAGCATGTAATAAATCATTTCAAAAGTAAAATTTTTCCTACCTAACTACATGGACATACATAGATATTATATCGAACATCATCGATACTACAAATACCTACCTAACGAATTTACTGAAGTGCTTCAATAGCAATAAATTATCAAATTGTACGTCAAATCATATTACAATTAACAACACTCTTGAAACTCATAAAATGGATAAGTAGAGATACTGAAAAATAAAAAGACTGTATCACAGATTTTAAAATCTTATTTTCAATAAATAGTATCATAAATGGTGTTTTTAAAGAAGTCGTAGTATTTCAAGTAGGTACATACTTACGATTCGAATAAATTCACGAGTATGACGAATAATATATAGCATTGGAAGAATATCTTAAAATTTTATAGAGCTCAATAAACAGCCACCTTTCTGACTATTTTAGTGAAAATAACATGATACATTCATTCAACCACGTAGGTAACATTACGGATACTGCGTGAAAGTCGAAATACATAGAAATTATGTATCTTATTAGAAATCTTCAATCTGAGCACCAATCCTACTATCATCTGGTCCTGAATTTTACAATTCTGTATGTTAATCATGTGTCTAATATTATGCATCAGAGGGCAAGTATATAGTCTATATTATAGGAATAAAAATTTGCAGCCGCATTCTACGCATATGTACAATAATTATATTTTTTTTTACTTATATATATACAGTAGAGTTTATGTTATTTTCCCACATGTAACTTGATTTTATTTAATACAATGAATAAATGTTATATATAAATCAGTTACAAAAGTAGCATTCCTTTAGATATATAAGTAGTACGCGAAACAGTAAGAGTATATAACGTTTTTTTTTTTAAATTACGATCATATAATTATAGTTTACTTTGTAGTACATTTAATGTAACTTACACGCGTGAGTAATTTCATCGTATGTAAGCCTTTTATTTAGATATGCGAATTTATCTCAACATACAACTCATCTTTATTTATAATTGGATTTATATTGAAGGTGAATACAGCATTTGCGCGGTAATATACTAATATTCATTATCTATATAAATTTACGGTATTATCCACTAGTTTAATGGATTTGAATACCTTAACTTTATTTATAATAAATGTAATATTTAAAGATGCACAGATCATATTCCAATAACATATGGACATCTATTTGCATATAATTATGTAATTAAATAATTTAATTTTTTATTTATTTCTGTCACATATTTTTACAAATAATTTATGAAGTCCCTGACTTCTGAGGTAGGTATAGAAAATACCTGTGTTTCAGAAGTCAGTGTCCTCTTCCATATTGAGGTGTACTTTAAGTGAATTTGTTAGGATATTTTACAATTTAAGTAGGTTGGTGTAATCGTAGGAGTGTTTGTGTGTGTGTGAATTAAATAAACTCCAGATACATGGGTTAGTTTAATAAAACATTACTTAACTAATGGTGGCTTAAATAATGATAAATTGATAGTGAAGAAAAGTTTGCTAATCTTAATACAAATATCCCTACTATATACATAAGGCTACTAGGTACCTACTGTTATTACTTTAAGTGATGATGGCATCTGAAAAAAAAACTTATGTAATAAGAACCTTAGATAATAATATCTATGATGGTACTAAGATTCCGCATGAACAAATAGCGTATATGGGCTAGGATTGAAGGATGAAAGAAATAATTTTATTATTTATTTAGTCTCCAATCTTTCTACCTAAACAATCCCATTTCCTTGCTTTCTCTTAGAACACAATGTAATAACCTGATAGTTTATATATCTAGCTAGTGTTCAGTCCTAAAAATTCTGTAGGAGCGTTGTGTCAGATAGAATGCAATCTATTAGAAATGTGTATAAGTATGAATGTAATCAATATTATCAAACCTGTCTTAGGTACTTAACCTAATGCATTTGTTACAGAAATATTTTTCCTTCTAGGCATCCATATTAACATTTTAATATCGTGAGCTATTATAATATAATCGTGACAAATAAATAATGTAACACTATAATTAATTTTTATTATTTCCAGAGCTGTAATCACCGATAATGGACAATTTTACCCTTCAACAATCTCAATCAACACAATCAATACGAAACATAAAGAAGAAGAAGAGGCTAATCATGGATATAATCCTTTTGAGCACAGAAAATTAGAACATCCAAATTCGTAAGTTACCATGAAAAAATAAATTATGCTATACTTTTCCAATTTTTCCCGAAAAGAACAACCCCATATTTTCCTAGGTATATTTTGAAAGGCGTAGATGGAATGAAATTGATTGTGGAGCATGAGTAAAGGACAATAGGATAAGCAAATTATTTATGCCTATCCTATCGTCCTCTAGGCATCCTCAGGTCCGTTTACTCATCCTGACATATTCACCAGGAATTAACCGTAATTACAAGGCCCCAACAGGTCTACCGCCGTCTTTGGTACTAATTTGATTATTTTTCCTGTAACCGCTAGATAAAATTTACGATAACGATTACATTAATTTGGTGTAGTAAACTACTAGGCCACTGCATACGCTACAAATTTGTTTATTTTAATAATATTTCTTTACAGAGACATGAGATCTTTTGCAAATCTCTTAAAGTCGTCATTGGGTTCCGGTATATTGGCCATGCCAGCAGCATTCAAGAATGCTGGCTCTTTAGTTGGTATCTTCGGTACAATTATTTTGGGTTATATTTGTACGCATTGCGTCTATTTACTGGTAATTTTTTAAACATTATATAATCCTGTTTTTATACATCATCAGCAAAAACTGCTTCTAATAATAAAAATATCTTCTTCCTGATTATGATATTCTATATATAACATTGTATAATTTTTTAACATTAGAATTTAGTGGATCTACTATTCAATACTCTGAAGTCATGGAAGTGATAGTAACATTTAATATATTGAGAGTGTACTGACGAACACTTAAAAACATAAGTTTGTAATTGCAGTATCAATCAACTGTATTTTTTCTAATGTCTGACAAAAGAATTTTGCACCGACGTACAATGACATTATACGCTAGCTGGGCATCAGTTAATATGAGAATGAAGACAGATCTCTTAGCCCATAGTAGTGAATTTACCAGGAATTAATCACACTTATTTACGGAGTACTTTGTAGAGATCGACCTGATAGATAATATACCTAGTAATGGTGCCACCCACCCACCAACATATCTCCATCTTAAAAAATGGTATGTTAGAAATAGGACTCTACCATCAGAAAACAATTATGTCTCTAAAAGTACATTTTTAAGACAATATAAAAATAGTAAAGAACATGGTACCTATTATATACCTATATAGAAAACATTAGTATACAAGCAGATCTTCATATAATTCCAATTATTATAGGTAAAAACATCACAAGATGTGTCCAGAGTCGCGAAAACCCCCTCATTAGGATATGCTGAAACAGTAGAAGCTGTTTTCGCCACAGGACCTCAACCACTAAGAAAAATTTCAAAGGCCTCTAGGTAAAGTATGTTTGAATATAATATCGATATTGACGCCTTCGTCGTATATTTAGGCTCTCATTTAGGCCGTTATGCATGTAGAGGTTTCATCGTCTAATATAATGTTACATGACTTGATCAAAACCACATACAAAGAATAAATTGCACATTTTATAAGTTTGTACGCAAAATTGGTATCCCAGGAATTTTCATATCTCGTGTCAAAATTAAGCTGAAATTATTTGTTATTTATATGCATTGTTGGTCTTTATGTTAGTTCATCCCATAATTATGAACTACACAGTAATATCTACAGTATAATATTATATATAATATATATATACCGTCTTGCAAAATAAAAAATTTTTAGACACTTTATTTTTCCATTCGGCGAGACAGAGTAATTAGCAAACTACACTACAGCTATTGTAGACAATAATTTAGCAATATTCTGCGTATTGATGAATCAATCTTAAATTAAACTCACCTTGACCTATTTATAACACGGGTAAGTATGTATGTATACATCCAGATTTCTAATAGTTTCCCCTTGAAAATGATAAGTAATTGAATGGGTATTATTAATCGAATTGATGAATATATACATCGCAGATAGAATACAACGTATTGGTCTCAGTACAAAATGCCTCGAACTTCAAATTAAAGAGTATATAGAGATGCTACGTATTGCCTAAAACCAATCCTTAACAAACCAGTTAAGTTATTATAAAAAAAATATGTTTATAATTTAGTTGTACCTCTAAGGTAGTTATTGTAGAGCTTGATAAATAAATATACCGTCACGACTATCATCACCAATAATTTAGTAGGAGACATTGTCAATTATCAACATCCAATTCCGTCAGTCAGTAGTCACTCAATAATCAAGTTGGTCAAGTTGGCCACATATCTCCGGATATAAATGAAGTCGGGGGTGCACATACTTAGATTAATATTAAGTTTCTTATCGCGTTTCCATTCCGGAAGATATATTGACTTGTTTGTTGATCTTGCCTTCTGGGTGTAGAAATTGGGAGAGAACACTAAGCCACAACACTCTTGACGAATAATAATATGTAGCGACCGCGCCGACTCCAAATAAATTGGATAAGGAAGAAGCAGATGATATAGCAATAATATATTATTATGTAAAGTATAATAATACAATATTTCCGTGTTTTTTTTTTTCAGAATATTCATAGACTGGGCTATGGCTTTTACGATACTTGGAGCATGTGCAGTTTATGTCATTTTACTCGTAGATTCCGTAAAACAGGTAGGTGGACATTAGAAGATATTTATTATTATATACTGTTATCCAATATTACAATAGTTTTTAATCCTTTAAATAACTACTTTCTAATTCACGCTCTACTTTTAAATATACGGAAATAATTTTATCATTTTTTATTTTTTGATCGAGGTAAATTTCCCAAATTTTAACTTCAAATTTAAATATTTCAGTAAAATACAATTTAAGTTATTGTAGAGATACTTTGGAGTTTATTATTATAATAAAGTTACAATTTTGTTTCCTAAACTTAATTGTTTTTGTTTCAGATAATCGATCACTTTTATGAAGACAATGGCATCAATACAGTTATGTACTGTCTGATGTTTTTGGTACCAATTCTCATATTCACACAAATCAAGAATCTCAAGTATTTAGCTCCTTTCTCTGGTTTTGCCAACATATTGTTGGTGTTAACCTTCATTATATGTTTATATTACATATGTAGCGAATTTCCAGATGTATCGACTCGGCCATCATCGGTCGATATCGGAAAGCTACCTTTGTTTATCGGGTAAATGCACGGTTTTTATCTTAGACTACTTGTATCCCACCCCAGTACTAGTAATATGGCATTGTTACTCGCTAAACTAATAGATCCTTATACCTAAGTGATAGATTTTTTATGCTCTAAAATTTCCTAAGTTCATTTATTACAAATTTGCAGAAATTATATACATATACTCGTACATAACCTCCAGATAAGTGCCTTTTATTGTACATGTCGTTTCTTGACTTCAACAAAGCTTGAAATTCATTTCAGTACAGTAATCTTCGCCATGGAGGGTATAGGCGTGGTGTTGCCAGTAGAGAACACAATGGCAAAACCTGAGCACTTCTTGGGATGTCCTGGAGTGCTCAATATTACTATGACTGTCGTGGTTCTCCTATACATGGTAATGGGATTCCTAGGATATATACGCTACGGAGATGAAGCTCAAGGCAGTATCACTCTGAATTTACCTACTGGTAAAAATGAAATGTAAGTTTTACGGTTCTTATAGCTTTGTTTAATATATATAATATCACATCAATTAGTGAAGGACACCAAAATGAAATCGTGAAGTTAGTTTTTATGTAACTGGAATGGCAAAACAACCGATGGAAAATAGCATCTGTCTCCTAATTCAGCCTGACAGACATCATGTCGTTATAATATCTATATAATACCCAAAAGGTATCAAAAGTGTTATACACTTGCAATGCCATTCCTAATTCTAGGCCATTATATCTCCATATTCCGTGATTTATATATTACATATATATATATATATATATATATATTACATATAATATAAATCACGGTATATATTGCTATGACTCAATTTTGCCGAAATAGAACTTACAAAGTAAGGTAGGCGGAAATTGTGGACTTGAAAATTTCATTTTGATACGTAGTCATAAATTTACACAGTACCTACCAGTTGTGCCCGAAGATTCACCCGCGTGGAATGTATAGTCTGTGTTTTTCTGATGCATAAGCTATATTATTGTAAAATCCATTAAATAGTTTTTGCATGAAAGAGCAACAAACAACCAATCCATCTGTCCAGCAATACTCATAAACTTCTGCGTTTATAATATTAATAAGATTCCTATTTCAGTATAATGAAGCAATAGTAGAAGTAGTTGTTTTAGTTAAAGTGCCTCTGAAATAAAATTGTGTATATCAATAAAACTATATATCAATATCACTGTTTCATTACAGTCCTGCATTAATGGCAAAATGTTTCATCGTGCTCGCCATATTTTTCACCTACACACTGCAATTCTACGTGCCAATGGAGATCGTTTGGCGAAATGTTAAAGAACGCGTTGCTAAGAAATACTATAATATAGGTCAGGGTGTCATGAGAGCGTTTTTCGCAGCACTAACTGGTATGGTATTCATTTATATTTAATTATGAATTTTATTTTAACAGGTTGTCTACTGCTTAATAGTTATGAAATATGTATATGTCATAAAAAGCGAGCATAACTTAATAGTGCTATTTCATTTTTCTACTACGCCATCCGGTGAGCAATAGACACAAAAGTTAATATATATTTTTAAACAAGTACTGAAATGTAGTTTAAAGATGCAATACCTAAGGTCCATTTTTATCAAAAACATATATAATTAAAATACTAGTCACTTAGACTTACTAATTCCGACTATATTTTGTAAGACGCCATCTAGTAAGCAGTAGACAACCTGTAAAAATAAGTTGCATAAATTCGACTTCATATGAACTGTAATTATGGCGCATAAGGTTTATTTTTAATTTGAAAAGTTTGTGATGTTCCTGTTCCTTAACATAAACTCGGAATCGCATATATTTCATACAACTACTTTAACCAATGTAGAAGTTTTCAATCAGGAGGAAATTTCTCACATTCAGACCTGTTGCTGGCTCACGGGTCAATTATTTACCACAAAAATAAAAAAAAATGTAATTATCACTACTGTGTTACATATCATATATGAAATATATAATGTATAACGATACATATATGACTAATTTAAAACTTGATTATACAACGCAGTTAAGCGATAGCAATAATAAATTAATAGACAATTGATAGATTTTTGTTTATTTTGTATGTTTATACATGAACTCTCTTTTGCAAACTAATATGACACTTAAAACTTAGTTTGTGTTTGTTTTCCTTACATATTTATTATTTAACAGTGGCTGCAGCGGCGACGTTACCAAGATTAGAACAAGTTATTGGGCTGGAAGGGGCATTTTTCTACTCGTTCCTTGGCCTTATTGCGCCATCTGCGCTGGACCTGATATTTCACTGGGAGAGGGGCCTCGGCAAATACAAGTGGATACTGATTAAAGATGTGTTCTTAATACTTTTTGGAACATTTGTGCTTGTCACAGGAGTGACGCAAAGTATTCGGGAGATAATTAGGACTAATAATTCTCAGTAACAATGATTGTGTTATTTCGTAAATATGTAAGACGATTACAGTATTGTTACAGTAATGGTAATAACCATACTCGTGTTAAATATTATTACCCATGTGATTTGTTATAATAAATTTGTTTTATCTTAAGCTTTACTTAATAATAATATTTTTATAATGTACCTAATTAAAACAGTTTTGAATTGGAGTATTTATTTAAAGCTACCTACTTTTTACATGACTGGAAGAAGAAAGCAAACAGACGCCAAAAGGCAATTATCTGTAATCACTTGTGAGTTCGTTATTAGAGTATTTAATTATAGTAATCATATGGCTACCATTTCTTTTATCTTCAGTAAAGAAAATAGTCTAATTAATACACTATTGGCTTTGCTATCACTAGATCTACTTACAAATGATTTAATGTGGTCAAATTTTTTAAACTTTAATACATACCTTAGAAAATTTGATCACATTAAATAAAATTATGTAGCAAAGTTGTGAGTTTTCGGAAATAGTAATTAACAAGATTTATTCGGTATGTAGGTATTTTTATAAAAAAAACTGATTTGTACTATTTGTTGGAATAAGTTTAGATTTACAATTCAGTACAAAGTTAAAGTTACAAGAAAAAATGATAATTCATGTAATTCGCGAACTAACTAATTCTGTCCGAATAAAGCGCCCATAGATGAACTACCTACGCGATCTAGTTTACACTACAGAGCATTTTGGATAAATCAAAACTTTATATCTCTTTGGAATCTTCTCTTTTCCTTTATTTTTCTTTGGAATACTGATAAAGCAATAAAACATGCATAAATTTCTATTACAATTTTACATTAATTAATATTATTACTGTACATGTTTATTTCTCTTTTGTTTGCGTTTTATTCAGACATAATGTGCATTTAGTAAAAAAAGGATTTGTTCTCAGGTATATTTATATCATTTCATTCCATTGTGAAAGTTTAGCCAGAGTAAATTACCAGAGGAACTTTAAAATGGTTTAAACCAATATGGCTAATGGCAACACTAATCGCCGGAGCCAGAAGAACAATAAAAACCTTAGTCAAAACGTAATTGTCTAATAATTCAGAGATTTTCAAGCAAGACTAATAATAGGTTAGATAATAATATTAAGTAGAGGAATGTTTTTTTTAAATATAAACACTGAAAAAATGTGATATAATATATTGACGTGGCGGGTTATTTAAATTTTGTAAAGGACTTGGCATTTGTGTCATTTATTACTAATTATTATTACACAAAATTGATTTTTATTTACTTTGTCTCGGATTTATATCATCGAAGCTAAATATTTTATTGTGATTTACCCAAAATTTATTTAATATATATGTATAGATAAAATTCTTTGCCAACTCGTCTCTTCAACTGTAGCTACATTGCTTGATCTATTTTTGTAGTGATTGTCATCTCCCAAAACAGTGAAAGGTAGGTAACCGTACGTAAATACATAACTAGAATTTAAAATAAATTACTGTTGCTTTCGTTTGGAAACAGTGTCTACGGAATGCCATACATTTATGTAATAAATAACTAGCAAGCCCCGTTCGTCATAGTGATTCATTAGTTCAACGAGTAGATATTTTTACCTACTCAGCCAGCGATCGTGTTTATATTGTAATTAATTTATTATAAATGAATACTTATATACCAACTGAATTATAATATCCAAAAATTAATATCAGTAAATAAGATGTCTTTCAACATTAATTCCAAACTCGTAAGTAGAACATAAACTAACCTTAAATATGCTATTCACATTTCGTTTGTCATCTACGATTAGATATTTGTTGATATTTCTTATCATTTCTATGATACTTATATCTTAAAATTGCACTGATAATATGGCTAGATCAATTTCAATAAATTATATTAGTGTCTCGACCGTAGAAACAGAAACATGAGTGAAAACATTGCGGTTAGTATTTACCTAAATAGTCTACCAAGCGTAAACTATTCGTAGTTTTTTGTACAGTTGTATAATTTGTTACCCGTTATTAAGCAAATAGTCATTAATTCTAGCTGCAACTTCATTCGATTCTCTTGTGTGACTGTAGTATTGTGGTATGTAATTTAATCACAATTAAATGATAAAGGTTCAAGGCTATTCTGAGCCGTTCAGAGTACAAAGTGAAATCACTGGAATCAGACGTTCAAATGTGTCTTCTTGGTCTTATCAATGGACTCTGCAGTATAACTAACCAAGTCATCTTATGTTAAGTGATTTAAAACAATATTAGTGTCAATTTATATGTGATTCCTGATAATATAGTACAAACGTGAAAATGAGTTACTTAAAACTAGCAATTACTGATTTTTTTGAAGAGATACCAGTATGTTGAATTTATTTGCATTTATTTACTTAACCTTTAGAACAATAATAGTTAAGCAACTACATTGAATATATTACTGAAGTTAAAATCTGTTTGTTAAATTACTTGTATGTAAGTATTTTTATTACTTACCTAAAAGAATAAGGAAGTAATACACAAGTTAAATGTATTAGTATTAAATGTTGAAACTGTATTCATACATGTTAAAGTTTATTAGTTTATTAGTATGTAACAGTTAATTTACACCGAAAAATTTATATATATTGAACCAAATACATTAAAATAATTCTTGTTTGTAGTTCTTGTCTCTTTTAATACATATTAAATATAAGGGATACATTTCATAATATTAGTAATAGTTGTCATCGGTGAGTAATAAATGTAACATCACCCATATAGAATAATGAGAATATTATGAATAATAAATACAATGTCTATCATTCTACATATCTTAATATCTAAGATACAACATAGAAAGTTAACACAAATAGTATATTAGAATATAACTAATTACTTATACATTTGTTTTTCAGGTCTTGCCCATTGTATTTGGAGTGGGTGCGGTGGTGGTACTTGCCTCTGTGATTGCCAATTGTGCATGGGGCGGCAAAAAGTCAACAAAAAGTAAAAAGAAACTTGTTGCCTTAGTAGATCCTAACACAAAATACCAATTACCTCTTATAGAAAGAGAGGAAATAAGTCATGATTCAAGAAGGTTCCGATTTGGTTTGCCTTCTAGTGAACATGTTCTAGGTGAGTGTATATAATATAGCATATTGATCATTTGCTTACCCAATAAAAAAACTATGAAACATACATCCTGATGATGGCTGGCTATCTTTTTATTATAATATAAATTTTCTCAAGGTATTTACCTTGAGAAAATTTATATTATAATAACTTAATAATTTGGAGAACCCAGTAATTTCATTGACCATCAAACTATAACACAAAACCAAATAAGTATTCTGTATGTAAAATTTAATGTATAAACTGTCAAGTAAAATAGGTTTATATTGCCTTATTCTGTGAGGTCTTGGTATAAGCAGATATATAGTGACACTTCTATAATGTGAAGAGTGTCAGGCAGTGATGACAAGCTTTGTTAGTTTATTTTATTCTCTGAAAAACATAACGGCAGGCTATGGATGACACCAAATTGACTGCCATCATTTTATTGGACTTCAGCAGTGCATTCAACTCTGTTGATTTCGATATTCTCCTTGGTGCCCTCCGTGCCGTTAACATTTCAAATTCTGTTATAGAATGGTTCTCTTCTTTTCTTTCGGTCGCCAGCAGTGTGTTTGAACCAGTGATGGTTCCTCAGACTGGACTTCTCTAACTGCTGGTGTACCTCAAGGCGGTGTACTCTCTCCTTTACTATTTTCAGTGTTTATTAACAATATTTCTCGAGTCATTACTTCTCCCTTCCATCTGTATGCAGATGATCTGCAGTTATACCGTCACTTCTCCTTGTCGGAAGTGACTCAAACAGTAGAAGCTTTAAACTGTGATCTCTTGAGTATTCAATCGTGGGCTAGATCTTTCGGTCTCATTATTAATCCGTCCAAATCCCAAGCCATGATTGTTGGTAGTAGCAGACTAAGGTGCAAGTTGGATTGGTCTTTGGTACCCCCAATAATATACAACAACATTGAGATAGCGTACACTGACAAGGTTAAAAATTTAGGACTTATTTTGGATTGTACTATGTCATGGATTTCCCATGTCAACGAAATTAGTAGAAGAATACACTTTTCATATCACTCTCTCAAACGTCTCCAATATTTTCTTCCCTTCAGTACCAAAATTATGCTCGCGCAATCCATTTTGCTTCCCATTCTTGACTATGCCGACGTTTGCTTCTTAGATATGACTGAGGAGCTTTTAAATAAACTAGAGCGCTTACAAAATTTAGCTATAAGATTTATCTTCAGTTTACGCAAATATGACCACGTTTCCGATTTCCGCGCTCGTTTAAAATGGCTCCCAATCCGTATTCGGCATAATGTGCATATCCTATCCATGCTCTATAATATTCTTAATAATCCTAATGCTCCCGCCTACCTTCGTTCCCACTTTCAATTGTTACCCCCCTCTTCCCGTCCCAAACGCCTTTGCCAAAACCACTCGAGGATCCTTAAACTTCCTAACAGTAGAACTCAGTTTATGGGTAACTCCTTTTCGTTTCGTGCTGCTCAGCTATGGAATAATCTCCCTTTGGAGATTCAAAAAGTCCATCTAGTGGTTCTTTTAAGAAAAAGTTAAAATCATATTACCTTTCTACTGCTATGTGATTAATGTCATCATTGTATATATATCTTTGTAGTATTTTTTGTTTGATTTAGTATATATTTATGGTTATCATATATTTATTATAAATGTAATTTTTTTTTGTTTAGGTATTCAAGTACATATTATATATTAATATATATTTTTTTTTATCTTTATGTATATTGTATTAGTATCTGTATTTTGGACATTATATTTTTATGTTTAGTTTTAATTATTTTGACATTTTCATAAAAAATATAATTTGCACATTTTAACCCACTCAACACTTCCTATGCCACGCTCTATTGGGTTGACTGGAAGAGATCTCTTTTAGAGATAAGTCCTCCTTTGTTAACATTAGCTGTAATTAATATACTTACAAATGTATTTAAGTGCAATAAAGAATATTTATAGTACAGTAGGGAAATGTATTATAAAATTGTTTCCTTATAATTTATTTTTTATAACTATATATATCATCATATCTAGTATATACAGGCTTATATTGTTTATTTAAAAATGTTGGTACCTATCAGTAGACTTTGATTTTCTAATTAGTATAAATATATCAGTCCCAGTTTAATTATTGTTATAAGTATCTAATATATTATTATTAAGGCATAATGACCCTGAACCCGAACCTGCCTGAAGTAAATTAAATACTACATCCACAATTTATGAATACAATTCAGTTTTATACATATGTAAGAAAATGATAATTGAGTTTTATATTTCTTTACAAATTCTAGGATTACCCATTGGTCAACATATACATCTATCAGCTAAAATTGATGATGATCTTGTCATTAGAGCATATACACCTGTATCAAGTGATGACGAGAAGGGTTATGTGGATTTGGTTATTAAGGTATGTTTTCATATAAATCAAATTCTATCTAAAATATATCACTTAAAAATGAAATTCAGTAATGGTACTAATTATTAAATATTAATAAGTTTGCAGTGATACTAACAGTGCTTTCATTCTGAAATATTTGATATTGTTGTGCAATAAATCTAGGGCAATTTAAAAGCAAATATTCATAAAGGTATAGTCATTTCTATTAACTTTATCACAATTTTTTTTTTTATTTTGATAAAATTAGTAGCTAGTATTTTAATCACATTCCTTTGTACCTATCACTGGTAGAATGACATGTTCTCTATTATATATAAATACCCTTATCAGTCCAACTATTCATTCCTCACCTATGTCTTTGCAATCTATGGCACACTCTCATCTCCTGTACCTCTTACCATTAATTTATATTTGAGTGATAATATTAATGATTTTTTCACAAATATCAGTATCTTGTCACCCATACCAAACAGTGGGGATGAGACATTAAAAACTTTAAAAAGCCCATAAGCTGATTAGTATGTGTTTAATACCTAGTTCACATGCCCATAAATTAAATATTACTTATTATGTAGTTATAATAACATTAACATAAAAATAATAAAAGAGAGAATTGGTCTCAATTATATTATTTTTATGTCAAACTTATTAAGAGAACTTGTTATCTCAATCATGTCTAAATCAGAAGAAATTCTGACTTAAGATTATACTTAATGAAGGTTGAATTACTGTAACAATAATATTTAATTGGCCTGTTAAGAATTTCATGTTGTATTTATATTAATTTTATCAATCGATTCAAATTCAACACAATTATCTGGGTACAGTGTTTATTCTATCTACGTATGTATCTGCACGTACTTTGTTTAACAATGATAATAAAATTTAGAGATTAGCATATTGAATTATATTTATATTAAACAATAGTCTACATTTTTCATATTCATTATTGATAATTCAATAATTACAGATAAAATGCCATTAAGGTTATTTTATAATCATAGATTACATACATAGATTTTTATGGTTTTGGTTTGCTTATTTTACATTGAGATTTTGGATGATAGATGGAGATGGGTGCATAAGACACATTAATATTATAGATGTTAAAATCTATCTGTCCTTTTCTTACCTTATCACAGCAACATTTTTAACTTGATCATAGATCATTAGTATAATTTGGACTCGAAGGGAATGAAATAGATGATGAAAGTTTGTACAGACGACTTATTGTTTTCTTAACGCCTTAGTAAATATCAGATATGAGAGAACTGATGATATTCAATGTAAATGGAATTTATGCCATCACAGATAATCTCCATTGTCTATATTGAATTATAGCCGAACGATAAGGAATACTTCAGTGCCTATTGGTGTAAAGTTAAGAATAAAGATTATTAATTTCAACAACTTCATCATTTTATTATCCTATAAACGGTTATGCATACTATATTATAAATGCGATGGTATGTCTGTTCGTCTGTAAACTTTTACCATTTAAACAGCTGAACAGATATTTCAATAAAGAGTACAGACATTGGTTACCTTTATGTCTAAGAAGCAGACGAAATCATAGGTTATAGCTAGAAGTTTATATAAATATACCTCCTTTTTTAGGTATACTTCAAAAATGTCCACCCTAAATTTCCTGAAGGTGGAAAATTATCACAACATTTGGAAAACTTGAAACTCGGTGAAACAATTGATGTCCGAGGACCATCTGGAAGGCTACAGTATCCAGGAAATGGTGTATTCCTAATCAAGAAACTGAGAAAGGATCCCCCACTCAGGATAGTAACAAAGAAACTCAACATGATTGCAGGTAAACTTATAATATATGACTAATAATAGTGGACCATATATATCTATATGATCTCACACATGTTATGTTAATCGAATTTAACAAATTTAATTCTATAGATAAAAAATCAAACCTGAACAATTAAAATAAAAATTGCAAAATCAACAGATTATTATTAAACTTTTAACTCAAAACATCTTTTTTAAAGTCGGTTGATATAGTAACTGTCATATTAGTAATTGTCTCGACAATCGCTTCTATTTTACAGTACATTTAATTGCAAAAGAGATCTGCCAGTGACAATTTTTTACCTTGATTAATATCTATATTAAATCACTATTTTCTTGTTGATAGCTCACCTATTTCACTTTTTATAGGCAGTGTTTCGGTTTAAGGATGAATAATTGTAGGGTACAGAGTCAAGATACTTTATTCAAGAATATGAAGGGTATAATATAATCATACCCATGTGATCGTTAACAGACCATCAGCTTATTTATCATTCTATTTACATAAAAATGAATTCAAATACCTTTCTCAACAGGTGGCACTGGCATAGCACCAATGCTGCAACTCATCAGACACATCTGTCAGGATCCAAGTGACTCTACGGAGCTGCGCCTGTTGTTTGCCAATCAGACTGAAGAAGATATCCTACTTAGAAATGAACTTGAGAAATATCAAAGAGAGTACCCAAATCAATTTAAACTGTGGTATACTATTGACCGGGCCAATGAAGGTAAAATCTAATTGATATAATTATAATCTTATAAATATAACAGTGTGCCTGTCTGTTTGTTTCTTATCTTATTAATGGATCTTAATTAAATTTGATGTGAAGATAGTTTTTATTAAGAGGATAGAGATAATGATATTGAGATTATTTTCGAGAGTTTGTTTTGAATTAAACTTGTTACAGAAATATATCAAATCCTATATAAATATATGGTGAAAATTTTACCACTATAACTTTTTTGTATGTAATTGTAATGCAAATAACCACACAGAAAACCGTCGCCTATTTGTTTAAAGCATCTCTGACATCAAGACGTTATGTGAAGTTCGTGACTACCTCCATGACATTTCTAAATACTGCGGTGTAAAGCCTCAATTCTGCAATTTCACTGCCATTACAATCATCCAACAGAAACATAGGTTGCAAAGTAAACTGCTTGATAACAGAAATAAGTGAAACAGAGGTACACTCGTAGATTTTTTTTTATCGGACTACTCTAACGTCCGCAGCTGACCTAGCTTCAGTGGACGATCGAGGGCGAGTGCAGATGGCACTCCAAAACCGCGGAAGGACTTATGGAGCGGCTGAAGGCCAACTCCTGCCTGACGCGTATGACTTTAGTCTGGGAACACTGCTAGATGTTCGAATCTCTGCTCAGACCATCGTAGTTTCGATCCCCTTTGAATTGAACGAAGGAGCGACCGGGGGCACCAGTGGGTCTCGTAAATAGCTTTATACTAAGACTACGTCGCTAAAACTGTTATAACTTTATGTTTCAGGATGGACGTACAGTACTGGCTTCATCAACGAAGACATGATTCGAGACCACCTGTTCCCACCAGGAGATGACGTGATAGTACTTATGTGCGGTCCCCCACCGATGATTAATTTTGCTTGCAATCCAGCGCTAGAAAAGTTGGGTTACAAAGAGGATTTACGTTTTGCGTATTAGATATTTATTGGATTTAATTAAGATACAAAAGTATAGTAAAAATTTCGACCGGTTTATTGTCACATAATTTTTTTAAATAGATTGCCAGTAGTACTATGTTTATTTTTATATAAATAATATAATTTTCCATTTTATAACGTACCAATATTACCAGATTGTATTTGCCTATTTGTAGATTAGGAAAGGAGGAAGGAGGAAAGGAATAGATTGATTATCATCATCAATCATCAACATAAAAGTATAATGAATGTTCTACTTTCAATAATTTAGGTTTACTAACTTTAAATAAATGTAAATAACTGTTTTTAACTTTCAAAATGTGACTCGGAAGTAATTAATTTTACTTTTTTTTTTTAATTTTTAATGATGTGATAACAATATTTATAGTATTTTCAGTTTCACAGAAATGTGACATTTCACTCAAATATATTTTATAAAAAGAATTATACCATTAATAAAAATTTATCCGTTCAAATTTATGCTCACTTAGATATTTTACTTATAAATAGTGTAAAACATACGTGTTGACTATATAATATGGTTGTATTGCTATTAAGAGTGCCTGAGCCAATTTAGATATTTTTGTAATGCTCTTGTTGTATTTAAATATAGAAAAAGTGCATAGATTGTTGATTGAATAAAAAGTTCTATAATTTTATTCTTCTTTTTGTTTAGTGCTGTTCTATGATAATGTTATGTCCCTCGGGTATTTTATTATTTTTATTATCACTTAAAGCTGTTTCTGTTTATTTGTTCAAGATGCTTAATAATTATATGTATATATATAGTATATACTTATAATTATATATAATATCTATAGAACTTAATTATTATATGTCCACTATTTGTAACTCCAAAACTCTCTGGGTTTTCTCAATTTTATTTGATTTATTTACCCATTTGGTTTTAATAACTCGAAGTAAAATGAACCTACATAAATACAAATTGTATTAATATTATAATATAAGTGGAAAACAAAGCAGTAATACGAAACGGCAATTTCCCATCTAACTCAAATAAACCGAAAAAATTGTAATTAGAAGGCATTTCCTCGATTAACCAAATCATTTTGGTTGCTGACTGATGTTGTTTACCTAGAAAATGAAAATGTACTTTAATTAACAAGGTACTAAATAAATATTCAAATAAACTCAAGCAAGAAAAGTTAAAAATAAGCAATAGACATTACAAAATCTATGCAGCTAAACTGATTTTAAAGAAATAATATATTCTGATATTAGCGAAACCTACGATGAGTCGTGTTTTATCAACATCGCTAATCTAGCGCCAATCATGAGATTCGCTGTAGCATTTGTGTCGTAAGGTGTTAAATGATTCGTAGGTAAACCGACATTTTATATTATGTATTGTAAGTTAATGGTACCTACGCCCGCCGGCACTAATGCTTTATTGCTTTCAGTGCACCAATGGAGGTTGTTTGGATGAGCGTAAAGTTAGCCCAGCGTGGCGAATTCGCTAGTAATTAACCACGGTAGTTACCAGAGGGTACCGCGTGGGGATCTACATAGCAATGAAGTCTGTATTCCATATTACTTTATTATATTCCCTATATTATATACTATATTTAACTAAATGAAATTCTCATTCATCTTTTTAGCGTCTTGATAGATATTTATTCGGTGATACTGGTACTTAGGTATACATAAAAGCTTATTTCGCATAACATCCCGCCAACAAATACATGAGAGAGTACTGCGTTAAAATATTTTGTTCCCAAAGCTACATGTCACACAAAACTATACATTAATAAATTCTTACTTTTTACATCGTAGTCGTCTAAAATTTCAAGGCATAAGTTTCTTGTATTATCTAGCTCTGAAGAGAACTTCTCGGCGGACACACTAAGAGCTATTATCATTACGAAGTTTTTTAAATCTTTTGTTAGAAGACCGTTAATGGACTTCCAGAGACTCGTCTGAAAATATAGAAAACTACAATTTGATTTTAATGGGAAATGGAAACAGTCGTCTGTCGCCGTCGCTTTGACTGAATATTTTTTAAACTTATAGTTACGTCCGTTTGGGACTTCGTATTCCATAAAGCGGTTTGAATAAAACACGCAAAATTTTTTATTTTTACTAAATTATATATATATATATATATATAGTTACGTTCTTAAGATTATCACTCACAGACAAACAGATCTATCTAACAATCATTGTTTGTGTTCTCATTTATATATTGGTTATTCGACTTTACCAAAGAAATTTAGATTTAGTAGAAACTGCTAAAAAAATATAGAGGGGCAAAAAAATTTCATGTAGGTATAATACGGAAGAGATACGGATATATTTACATGTTACAAAACTCGAGGCGCAGTTATGGAATAATGCTAAAAAATGAAAATAAAATACGTAAATAATAACGTTTTCCCTTCATTCATCTCTAAAGATAACGTTAGATACCAATTATGCTCCAGTGTTGTATGCTTTGTATATAAATGTATGTAAAGTATTAGTTAATCGACTATAAAGTATTCGAGTTCTGGTAAGCCTTAAAGTTTTCATCTTAATCTGTTAAATCGTACTTACATTCATGTGTATCACTAGTAGTAGTTCATAAACTCGTAATATGAACCACAAGAAAAACGAAATGTTGAAAAACAATATCTGAAATGAAATAAAATAATTTAAGATTACTCACAGAAAAAAGACTACTTCCATAGGATATAATAGTATGAGACAATAACGTAAAAAATCGTGTTGATATTGAGGAGCATCGCCAAACCCGAATTCAAATTTTTTAATATTTTTTTTTTAATCTAATCATATTTTTATTTTTAAAGTCAACTACTCTGAATATAAAACTATAATTAGATTAAAAAAAAAGAAATTTATACATTTTATAATCGATAACATCATAGAACGTAATGAATTATATTCTATTCAAACACCAGTGTGTAGGTATATGTTAGTACATATACATACTCGTGTAAAACAGGAGTACATAGAATGATACTAAGATTTGTATACTTACTGAAGATTTATAAAGTTCTTTTAATATATTGTGGGAATACACAATCTTCTCTATAATATGAACATACTTTTCTATTTCTGTATGCTCAGATTTAACTTCTTTTTCTTTAACAAAAAATATTCTGTCTGAAGCAGGTCTTTTACTGCAGTATTTATTTTTTAACCATCTATTGAGCTCTTGCAATTTCATTCTTAAATATTTACTAATTTTTAACCACAGTAATAGATCAAAATCTTGAATAATAGATAATACACATCTATTGTAAAATAACACTAGCCATAATTCTGTAGGTATTATTATTACAGATTCCATGTAATAATCTATAACGAATGAAACGTTTAAACCGAGACCAGTGATCAATATTAAATCCAAATAATCAATTCCTTTAAACTTGGACATAGCTATCGATATTCCCTTAGTATATCGATCTAACTCAATACACATATTATATAATCTACATGCAAGTTTTCTAGTAACAATCATGTTTATTGTAACAAAGTAGTATAACCCTATGAACGACATAAGTGTTAGAACCTTTTGTAAAGTAGCGTTATTCAAATTATAAGTAATGCTTTTATATCCCATATACATAGATAGGATTATTGTTAACAAAAACCAATATATCGGTCTCGGGTATACTTTATCTTTATTCACTACAACTCGTGAAGTTCCTGTCAATATTTGAAAGTAGTATATTATTTTTGTTGACTTCAATATGTATATTTCATCTTTGGAGCTTTCTTTTGACATATTTACGACTTCGGTCTATGAATTATAATAATATACTGGGCTAACTTCAAGGGTGACTGATCGGTTATTAGAGTTAGGTACTTACATAGAGTTTCATCAATAAATATAATATGGAGCACTACTATAAAATGGCTATTTAAAATATTGTAGTATAGGTAAGTAATGTAACAGTTTCTATTTTTACTTTTACTGACTGGTAGCGCTAATTGAACAACTAATGCCATCACCGGAGAGTCATTGAGAATAGGTACAAATTGACACAAAGTTTTTGGTGTCGGCCAGATTATTACTCTACTTACTTCTTACTACTTATTACTCTACTACTTCTAGGTAGTAACCACGACCACTTGGCCACAGAGCTATTAATTCTCAAATCTAAGAATAAAAGGTAGACTTGTGTTACCAACTTACCACTAACCAGGATTCTAGTAAGTAACAGCGTCGGCATTCACAAAAAAGATATAATATTTCAAGAACAAATTTACTCTTCTGTACTTAATAATAATATGATACCTACATAGACAGAAAGAGAACTGTTAGAAATATGAACTAGTGGACCTATGGGTAGCAATGTACCATATGAGGTCAACTTTTAAAAACCTGGAAATTAATGGTTATTTACTGGTGAATTTGTCATGATGGTCTAACTGACATAACTTATGCTCGCATTTTGTAAACCGTCAGTGAATACCGTTAGTTTAAGAGAGTATAACTTTCCATTGTCATCTATTAAAAATAAATATATCTACAATACGTAAAAATACAAACAGCTGTAACGTAAAAAGTACATCACACACTATCTTAGTATCGCTATGTAATGTTATTTTATCTGTGGTATACCTTACAGCTTTCAGCAATGAATTGGAATCTTTACCCTTTACACAATTATTTAAACCTAGCTGTTCCCGCGACTTCGTCCACGTGGAATTTAACTTTATTTTTCTAAACAAATTTTCTAAAATAAAAGTAGCCTTATTCCTTATTACATTAGCTACTTACTAAAAAAAGTCCGTCAAAATCGATCCAGCCATTTCAGAGATTAGCCGGCACAAACAGATCGACAGGCAGACAGACAAAAATTGAATAAAATATTATTTTGGTGAATATACCGTATTTGTATTCATATGCATGTAGTAAAAGACGATTATTTTAATATTACAAAAAGACACTCCAATTTTATTTATATAGATACCAATTTTGAATTAATGACATGCGTGTTGAATGAAAATTGCTTATTGTCTCAGGAGATATATAACTATTAAAATGTATTTAATGTAGAAATATTACAATACCGTGTTTAACTCACGTATACGCTTGTTTAAATAGAATTTTATCAAACTTAACTTTTTACATGTATGTACCTATGTACCGACAATGTAACAGAAGAAACATTTTTATAATTATGTAAGCCAAATATTATATATACATGATATTATATTTTACAAACCAGTATTGCCTTTTTTATTGAAAATTATTATCTACTTCATGACATTTACTGTTAATCTGAATAGACAATTTTGCAGGGGTTTAGTTTTTAGCTAGGCGTCAGCCAAAACATCATAAACACACAATATTAGCTACTAGCACATATATAAATTTTATTATATTCTATTTAGTTTATTGTTCTATGTATATAAAACGGAATTTTTCTATGTTACAAAAACTACTGAAACATATAGAATATCTCTTAATTAGGGTTTTTTGCAATCATATTCACATATAATATATATATCGAATCTTACTAATATTATGAATGCGAAAGTTTGTGAATAAGGATGGACAGATGGAAGTTTGTTACTCTTTCACGCAAAAAGTACTGAAACTGTACAGTACCTAATATAAGCCTAACACAGGCTATAAATTTTATCCGAGTGAAACCGCGAGTACAGCTAGTTTGGACATAAAGTTATTGTGGACATTTTTACACACTTTGTATATTACTATCTATCCATATTAAAAATCACTTAAAACGTAACGACTGGTCTTCAATTGATCAGATTCGTATATTAATCCTATCTCTGGATATA